TTGATTGGGCCATTCGCACAAGGTGATGACCATCAACCGTGTAGCTCAAGAGTAAGGGTTTGAAGTCCCACCCCGAAGAATCCCGGTTCGAGTCCTGACAGGGACACCAAATGTATGCACAAACATTTTCATCGCATTTGAATGCATTTACCTCGCGGGAAATTATTGATCTCCCAAGAAATGAAGCCCACATCCAAGACCATCCAGTATGACAAGTGCCTCTAAACAATTGAATGGGCTGATCCAAGCTTGATACTCTATATTAACATTTTTGTGATTGGTCACTTTCGCGGAAACGCTTAAAAATGTCTATCTCATGTTGTCTGCCCGCAAGTGCACTGTGAATCAAATGGTGTGCGACACCCAAAGGCAACGTGGCCGGATGACGAGAGAACTAGGCGTAATTGAAAGCAATCTGTTTTTGCATCACTTGTTCAAAATAAGGCAGGCAATGTTTCATTTCGATGTTTTCATATTAGTGTCATCAAAGATATTCTTAGTAATATTCGTTCAACAATAATCGACAAGTTAGACTACAGTCGTCAAACTAAAGCTTCTCTTTGTACGTGCAAACTTAAGTAGCCAACTTCATTCAAAGGAATATTGGTTCTATTCATAGAAAACAACAAGAGATACTAAGATTTGAAGAATTCTAGTCGTAGGAAACTATTATTTCAGAGAGCCCTCACGAAGGTTTCCTATAGGTTTTATGCCCGGTGCACTTATGGACAAGATTTCTAGGCTTTATTTGTAAAGTTTCCGAGAAGATACTCAGTTGGGTCGATCGGGTCACGCTGATAATGAGGTGTATTTGATCGGATGAATTAGGATTTGTGTAGGAAGAAGTCTGATGCATGGTCAGTTACCATCAGCGGCATGTATCGCATAAAAATTAGTCACAAATAACTGTGAAATAGATGTGAAATAACAATTCAATATCATATTGATTGTGTGGGATTAAGACACAAAGCTAAAAAATTTAAATGTGTACCTTATCATGTGACTAATAATGAATCATTCTTCTTTTGGAAACATCTGGAAAAATAATTCACCTTGTATTGATCACGAATCAGTTGCATATGGACTGTTTTGCCTGTGCCAAATTGGGCCTCACGATGCATATGAATCTGCTCGATTACACAGGCTTCCGATTTGAACAAGTGCCATTTGGTCAGTACATCATTTGAGTCGATTGTGAACACGACCAGATTGTTATCGCTTTTTGGTGTCTGTGGGACCCAGTCCACGCTCAAATGTTTCCAGCTGGTTCACAACCAATAGCGGATCAAGTTGAAGGAAAGAAATGAGATGAATAGGAAGTTTGGAAACACTGCAATATCACGCATATCTATCTATCTATCTATCTATCTATCAATCTATCTATCTATCTATCTATCTATCTATCTACCTATCAATCTATCTATCTACCCAACTGTCTATCTATTGACCTCTGCGAATTTCGATTGAGCCCAGAGAAAAGTGTGGTGTCGAGGAACAGGAAAACATGGTTGCTTTCATTATCCATTTTTCCGTTGAAAGACGATAGCAGTTCTTGGACCAGATGAGTTGCCTTCCAAACCACCTCGTTCTATCTTCGTTTCTCCGGCAATAGGCCAGTTAAAGTCAGGTGATTGCAGTGACTTTCAGCTCCAGTGTACATCTGGCGTTCGAAGTGATAGACATCCCAAATCACTACTAGGACCAATTCACTAAGGCCTTTTGTGACTAACCACTTGAAGGGTAAGTCTTCCACTTACCTCTATCTTTCCATCCTTTAATATGAAAAATTAGATGGATAACGGATTTCATTCTCCTAAGAGCATACAGTTTCAGAATTCCAATTTCGCACCCTCTGGCCTCCCTCAGATTCGTGGTTTGGATCAAAACGTTGACTCTTCTTCTGCGCTTAAACTTAATTTTGATCAAAACACAGATGATCAGCAAAACGTTTGAGCTAATTCTGCATAGAATGACTATTGCCTCCAGTCAGATATTTTCGTTCGTCCGTCAAACTATATTGAACTTTTTCTTGAATGCATGCATTGTTGATTCCACACGTCTTTAACCTGCGTAGACCTCAGTCTCCCGAGTAATTTAATCATGTCAGCAACCGTGTGTTACTTTTAACAACTTAGAATGCTTTTATTAACGCCGCTCACCGAACCCGACATCCCGAGACTACTTTAAGCAATACAGAAACGTTTGTTAGCTTGCCTTACAGAGACTAAAGGAATCCGCCCCAGAATGGATTTATCAACTGCCGGTAACCAAACATTCTGATACTTCAACAAAGTGATTTCTCCCAATTTTTTCCATTCCACATTTTCTGACCCATCAATTCATCTTGTTCTACGGTGTGAGAACTTCAGACGAAGTGAGAAGGATGCACTTCTAGATTTACTATTTGTATCATTTTTATCAATCAACTTACCATTTGAATTCATAAAGTGAGAAAGTTTGACTACAAATTCAATATGTAGTAGAATAGGACGATGGAAATAACGGAGTAATGAGAAGCTGTTTCGTCTCTGTTGACAAAAGAAACAGTGGGTTTGTAACCCAAACCTTTAACCCTGAGATCAAGTTTCGGTGGTCACCCCGTTGAATTCACGAATACATGAATTTAACTGTGAATTGTTTTTGCCGGTCATGACAGTTTGCTGACAGTTAGGTACCCGTATAGAGATGACCAAGCACTTTGTCGATCGCCTTACCATTTTGCTTTTTATTAAATGGATTTATTTGTGATCGACCCTCAGTCGTTCAACAGATGAGATCCAAAACAGAACAATATTACTCATGCCCTTGTGTTTGTAAATAAGTCTGAACAATCCGCAACCATAATAAATTCTCTTGAACATATTCCGAAAGTCTCCACGAATTTGGACACATTAAATCTGTAAGTTGAATGACCTGCCATAAATTGCTACAAAACCTATATGTTTTGTCATGAATGAACGTGCCGTTTTCATTTTTTGCCTCTCATCTGGAAATACATTTGAATGTGTTGGCATTCGTCCAAACAGGGAAGCTATTAGTTAAGAGGATCATCTGAGTTGTAATTATCTGCTTTTGTGGTAACCAAGCACGTATCCAAGAGAAAAAATAGGGAATTGTGCAATGCGCAATGCACATTACTCACATAGTTCCTTCTTTGATTAGAATGGGTTGTCCCGTCCGGGGTCGAATCACATTGTACATCAAGCGACTATCCAGCGGTAGGTTTGTGTCCACGGGGGCGGTACTATCGGAACTAAGACACTGAGGTAATGAGAGCAGCAAATGAAACAGAGAAACAATGTTTTCTGGGTGTAAATAGTTTGGATATTCCAATACTGTTGTACAACAGACAGGCAAGCGCAGCCGATGCTTTGTGAATGGTAGAAATACTATACCTTATGCGAGTCAAAATGCGCTCGGATGATTTCAAGATGTCCGGGAATCATTTCAATTTGCCAGACCATTATTTCAAGCTGTCTGGTGATTATTTTAAGTGGTCTCGGTATCATTTCAAGATGTTCTCGTAATATTTCAAGATGTTAGGGAATCATTTCACATTGACTGACAATTATTTCAAGATGTATGACGATTATTTCAAGCTGTTCCGGTATCATTTCATGATATCCTCGGATTATTTCAAGCTGTCGCGTTGACCTCATCAGTGCTGACAAGCCTCCCAGCGATGTCTGGATGACTAGCATGCAACACCGATTTCTCTACCTCCCGTTGAGTTTCGGGGGGACGATTGTGAGACGGGCTTCGGTCACACACGCCTCAATTCTCATGGCATACATATCGTTTGTTTATCTTGCTAGTACGCGTATGCCTCTGTGTGTGTCCCCCTCCACTGATACCAGTGAATCATGCGCGATCAACGCTTGCGCCATTGTTTACCGCTATCGCACGATGCTGCTGGTGGTGGCTTCGGCAATCACTATTCTAAGAACGACCACGGTGGTATTCCCATGGTGAACCTGAATCGAGAAATGCGACAATGAGAATAAGATTGTTCGAAGACTGTTTGCACCTACTACNATACCAGTGAATCATGCGCGATCAACGCTTGCGCCATTGTTTACCGCTATCGCACGATGTCGCAATAGAATTCATAATCTACACCTCAAGCGGCTGCACCGGGACACCAATGGATCATGCTCGATGGATATACACATCGGTATTGACCATATTCACATCCAGTTTGTTCGACGCTTTCAGGTCATAATACGTCTCTGTCACACCACCACAGAAGCACCTTCAAGCACTGAACAATCAAAATGACCATTTTGGACATATTTTCGGAACGGAATGAGATATCTCTATCAAAGCAACTGCAATAGAAATAACGTAACGAGGGCTGTCGAAAGATGCCATAATTTTCATAAGAGTTACGGATTTTTATGAGAAAATACAAGTTTAAAAATTGGAATGTTTCCGAACTGCACTTTTCTGAGTATGGGCTCTGAATTCGGTAATCTATCACTGAAATCATATAGTATTACTTAAACACCTCCATCACACAAAGTAAACCGGGTGAATTTAGGTTAACGTGACATTCACAAGTAGTAGGTGCAAACAGTCTTCGAACAATCTTATTCTC